TTTTACATACTTTTCAAACAATATATTACATAAAATTTTAATGCAATCCATAGTACTTGCACCATCTATTCTTTCGTCTTATGTTTTCTTTTCGTAAAAACTTCCAATATCGCTTTGTATTTGGATCTAAATCTTCCAATCTCAGAGGCTCAGTTCTGAGATTCCACAACCAATCAGGATATTCAGAATCAGGCTTTATCTTAATATCTTCTCCTTCTTTCAAAATATTTGTTCCACAAACATAGGTCAACAATTTGTTGACATCCTTTTCAACAGGAAGAGCAACTTTCTCTACTGTGGATACTTTTTTAATAACCTTTTTGGGAGGTGCTGCAACAACAATCAAAACGTTTTAGGTTACCAAATTGTTTGTTCGTAATGTATGAATTCAAAAACGTATAGTATAATCTTTATTATATCTTTCCCAATAAACGTACAACGATACAATCAAAATCAACTGTTTATGTTATACAACATAACCTCTATCTCTACAAAATCAAATGTACTGCTATTCCATAAAAACAAAATAATGTAATGACTAATCTTTTTACCTGCATAATTTTTTACCTGTACTGTATATTGTACAGGAATAATAAGGCTTTGCTTTATTTGGAATAACCGCAATGCCGAAAGTATGGACATCGTTCAAGAACATACGAACTTATTAAATTTCTGTATGTTTCCTTCCACACCATATACGTGGTTATATTTTATATAATATTTATATAAAAAATGATATTAACTATTTGATACGTTCCAATTATATTTACATACACGATATGTACACGAATCTGTTACAGTAAATGTAAAACATGGTAGAGAACCATCTTGAAATCGTTACGCGGTTAATTCAAACGTTGACAACGGCATGGTTGCAAATGCGCAATAACAAACAGTAGCTTTGCTTGTACTGAACTTATAAGTTGTGTGATTTGTAATTTAACCAAAAATATAAAGTCCATAATGTGTCAATCTTCGTTAAATGATTGAAATCGAATTCAAGAATTTGTGGTGTAATAGATTAATCATACTTTTATGTTTCGGTTATGTAATGCCAATAAGCAACGATAGAGTTACGCGGGTAGGTACAATTTTTCTACAAAGTATGAAAAGCCGTACTCAGAATTTATTGAATCGTTATAGATAAAAACAGTAGCTTTTGACGTAAGGGGTACAAAAGGAATATCAACAGAGTCTAATCGTAAAACAAATGTTCACGAAAATAATCAATTCCTGACTATAGCACCTGCTTTACCAATTCTACCTGGAGCACCTATCCCACCAAAATTATCAAAACGGTATTATAACACATTTAGGTACAAATAAACTGTACAACTTAATATGTAACGTAATTACTAAATCACATAACTTCTTTATAAATTTGTTTATGCAGTCTAGCAGATTCTCCATTTAATATAGAGAATGCTAAAGCTGAGAGTTCAAATACAGTTACCTTGCAATGGACAAGCGAAGGAAAGACTATGGTTGCAACCAGAACAGCTGCAGAGAAAGAAAAAAGTCCTGATAGAATATGTCTTGATAGAAGGGGTCTAACTACATTCCCAAATATAGTTGGGGAACCACGTTTGCGTTTATTATCCCTTCAACATAATCTTCTCACAAAGATCGAAAACTCCAATTTCTCTCAGTTAACAAAATTAGTATTTCTTGATTTGTATGATAATCAGATTGAAAAGATCTGTAATTTTGAAATATTAGAAAATTTAAGAGTATTATTGATTGGTAAGAATAGAATAAAAAATATTGAAGGTATGACACATCTTTCTAAATTAGAAGTTTTGGACCTTCATGGGAATCAAATTTTACAAGTATCGGACTTGGAGAATCTTACATCTCTGAAAGTACTTAACTTAGCGGGAAATAATATTAAAGCAATAGGCTACCATGATTTCCAAGGTTTAACATCTCTTAAAGAGTTAAATCTCAGACGTAACAAAATCAAGAAATTATTAGGATTTGGTGAAACACCACAGCTACAAAAATTATATTTAAGTAATAATAACATTCAAAAGTAAGTATTTAACAAACCATAGAAGTATGAACTATGTAATAGTACCTTATGAATTTCTATTTTAGAATTGAAGATATAGGAAGTCTAGCAAAAGCATTACAACTTAGAGAGATAACAATAGATGGGAATCCTATAACTCTAAATGGAGATTATGTGTCCTTTCTTGTGTCGTATCTTTCAAATTTACAATTCTTATCTACTATGCCAGTTACTGAACAAATTCGAAGAGCAGCTATGGCCTGGAGGACAACTAAAGAACAAAGTAGTTCTACATTTTTAAATCTCAGTGCACAAATCTGTATGAATGTCCGCAGAGAAGAAGTTATATCAAATGCAAAAATCAATTGGGAACTTCTCAGATGCCATTCCAAACCCTCTATCGATAACAATGGCAGCAGTAATCGAACCAGTAATATCGGTTTAATTCAAGTTCAGAAGTCGAATAAGTTTAATACATTAAAACCTAAGAATCTGGAGAAAGCAAAAACAAAAGGTTTTGGAAGCTTGACCTCAATAAATGAAAACATAGAAGCAACAAAGATAAATATTAAAAAAAGAAGTAACTCCAGTGATAATTTATTTAGACTTAAGGACACAACTAAAACATATCCATTAGAGTTTAAATTACCCCCTATTTTAGGTTCTATTGTAGATAATTTGATTAATAACAAATTTGACGAAAAAGCAGGTAAAAGTAACAAGAATTTAATAAAAACAAAGACTAGTAGCGATGCTGATAGTGAATCGAACAGCGATTCGGAAAGTTCAGAAAGTCATGAAAACTTGAAGAGTTGCTTGAAATCTCATCTCCTAAATTCCAGCAATCATATTTCACCTCGTGACTTTAATAAGTCTGCTATCACCAAAGAGTTTAATCCTATGAATATTCCTTCGTCCACATCGACTGCTGTTCATGAAAATGAAAATAATAAAAATTGTACCATTTTCAAATCTGCCGAGGCATTAAATGGTGAAGATGTAACAAAATTCAATCAAAACGTAAAAGTTCATGATCAACACGGCACAAGTGATTGCCAATCAAAGTCAAGCATTGGTTCCTCTGGCTATTTTTCATTAAGCTCCAAAACTAACAGCATGGATAGTTGCAAGTCAATACTAAGCGATTCCAGCACATCATCTATTGCTAAAAATGTTCTGTTAAAGAGTAAAAATTCTGAAAAAGATAAAAATAGAATAAAAAGTGCTCAGGTAAAAAAAATAGTAACTTACAAAAGCAATAGAGCAGCAACAGCTCGAGCTAAATACAGAGCTTTAACACCGCCAAGTCCACCACCGTTACAAAATCCACCAAAAGAAAGAGAACAAGGTGTGTCTTAGTAATACATTAGCGGTAGTAATTCATTTAACATATATTACTAACACGTTATAGGAGGAGATTATTTAATAGAAATTGTTGGCCGATGCTTAAATGTTTATGGTCAAGGTGCATTACGTTTTATTGACAAACCATGGGACTGTTCAAAGGCTCAAGATGTTAATGTAGTTAAATTCAATTATGTACAGTTCAATGATGTGGCCAAAGTTTTGTGTAAAGTGAAAAATAGATTTCCAAACATAGAACACTTTATGTTTAAAGAAACGAATATTAGTTACCTTGGGCAACTCAATGCTTTAGCCGAAGTACAAGGATTAACAAGCATTCATATAGAAGTCGGGAATCCGATTATATCCAAGGAATGGAAAGTATATGCTATATTTCGTTTATCCCATTGGGGTCTCAAAGTTATTAATGGAAAAGAAGTAAATACATTTTATGTTTCATGCGAAAGGAAGTAGAAAAAAATCTATGCAAAATATTCACTTCTTCACGTTTGAATGTTACCTTCAGATAACAAATGAAGAAATTGAATTGGCAAATAAGGAGTATGCTGGTCTCGTTGATATTGTCATGTGTTCACTGCCAGAATCATTGTTACAACCTTTATTACAAAGACTTCACTTGGACAAAGTGCAAAGACAAAATGGAGAACAAATTACTGCCAAACAATTTTTACTCAACAGCGATCCAGCCCTTAGAAGTGTAGTCGCTAAAGAAGCACTACAATGGAGAAAAGGAAGTATAACACAAGTAATTAAGGAAGAATATAACTTTTAGCAATAATTTAATAGAAGACTCAAGTTTTCTTTTTTCTCACAGAATTTCTTCCTTTTTCTTATTACAGGAAGATCTTATTTGGCGACACAGGGGAAAAGTGCATCTGTTAAGTCTGATTAATCTCACTGTAGACGCAATACAAAAACTACAACTTCTTGAGAATAAATGGCCAAGTATTTTATGCGAAATAATTCACACTACTTTATCTGACTTTTCTGAAATGGATACGTATATGAAACGTTGTAGCGAGACACTTGAAAGCGACAAATGATGTGCCTTCACACTTCATTTTATCAGTTAAAATAGTGTGAATTTACAGAATTTAACGACACGCGTTCCTTAGTATGTGTTCACATTTATTTTGTTCATTTATTATTACACAGACTATAGGACATGTTATAAATGTATATTTGTTACTTAATATCTATAACACGTTTAAAGTGTTGTCGGCGATAAAGAATAATGCTTGAATTTTTATACAATATTCCGCGATTATGCAGTAAATAAGTCTATTGCAATGTTAATGTACAATAATGTATTTTAAATATATAACGCATTAGCGATTGTCCAACTAATATGTGATATGCAAAAATAGAAGCACACTGCAGACTTAAAAAAAAAGAATTCTTAAGAAATTACTCATACTTTTGTTTAATCTATAAATCGTTAGGTTTAAATAAGTCAAGAGTGTAAGTTCTATTTACAATAACGATGTGCGATCTTCAGCCGAAGATAAATCAGTCGTTTGGTATCACTTTGTTCCGATGATAGATTCCACGCTAAAAGAGATCGTTGATTTTTTCTCCAAACAAGATCCGCCAGTAGCTGTGGAAATGTCACTGAGGTCTGTTACGGCGGAGGCGAAGTTGTTGAAGTTCTTCTTAATCTTCCGCGGCTCCGGAACATTTTCAAACCAAGGAATCGGGGAATATGTAGTTGGAAAGGACTCTAATTTCTTGGAATTTTCAGAGTCTTGCTCATTATGCGACAAACCATTCAACAAGGGCGCGTCTGCGGTAACTGAAATGAAACGAGAAGTTCGTATTTTAAAAAATCATTACATCAATCTTACACGCGAGTGTGTGTATAATTTATATTCTTTGTTTGCCGAAACACAATGTTATATGCGATCGCTTGTGTAACAATTGACCACAATCTTGTGTGTATTGGTCACAGCTGAGGCCACGCGGACGTTACTTTTACGATTTCCTATAAACTACAAAAGAGCGATGAATGGAAAATGGAACGAAGAAAATGTTGGAAATCTAGAAACATTGCATTTTGTAATTTAATTTGATTTGTAACAACGAATGTTATTCAAATGTGGAAGCATATCGCGTTCATCTTTCAAATATAAATCATGACCACGAAAAATGTTGAGTTTTCAAATGCATGTAAGCTTCATCGAAATAAGGTGAGCACACCCCGTGTAAGGTACTTAAAGGTAAAATACTATTAATGTCAAAAATCTTTTTGATAGAACTTTTCTTTAATATTTATACACAATAAGTACTAACATGCTGTGGGTAAGCCGTGAATAGCCTTCAACCCATAAAACCCTTGCGTTACACTGATGCTGGTCTGCGTGAAGTGCAATTGATGACGCTGGAAGTTCTTTGTCCTGCGACAAGCAGGATTTTGATCAGTCTTCAACAAGTACGGCGAGGCGGAAGTGTCCATGGGTGCATGGCAGACGGCCGAGACATTTTCACCGAAATAATTTCCTTGTGCCTGCTGTTGTCTTCTCAGTGCTACCTGCGCTGCCATCACCCGCTGTCTTTCAACCACGAGCAAACAACAAGGACAACGGCAATCCTTCCACGCGCACGAACGTTTGTGACCCTTCAGACCAGAAATCACACCGTGGTTCCGGCATCTCGCGCACTTTGGACTCCTCAGACGTTGTTCCATGCTGGAATGCACTTGGCTAGAACCGTTGTTCTCCGTTTTCATTTTGAATGCTCGCCGAGTATCCCTCAGGCAATAATATTCTTCTCCCAAATTACTAATATTCACTTCGGCAAACTCGAGTTTACTCGACGCTGTCTCTCTGTGTGATCAACCTTTCCAAGTTCAATTGATCAGAGCTGTGAGAAACGTAGCGCAAAACGTTGTGCGGTATTCCATCTTAGCGCACCTCCAAAGCCACTTCATTGAAATACGAGTTCCTTATCTTAACCGGTTTCGAATATTTCACGAAAAATATACAATGGATTTCATATCAAGCAACTTCACAGTCTTCGAAACCGCTCCCGAATTTCTGCACACTGCCTGCCTGGACGAAGCGTGCTCGATGCACTGTTGAATGAGTTATATACTTAGAGGAATCTTTTTCCTGTGGCGAAGGAGGTGTTCCTTCATCTCCTCCTACTGATTCAAAATGTATTTTTAGAGAAGAAACACGCCGGGATTGGCTCCGAACGCGAAGAAATGCCGCCACCCTCGTGGACGAAGAGCCAATCGAGAACAACCAGGCCTCTCGGTGTTCTTGTTTCCATACTGTTGTATCATCCTCAAGAAAAAGGTGAAGATCTTCGTTAAGCGAGCAATTTCTTTGATTACCGACCCCCGTGACGGGAACGTATCGATCTTCCGCAAGGCGGATCCGACATGTATACGCACAGAGAGTCGTTTGGACGGGAAAGGACGAGAGATTCAGGGAGAGAGCTTGATGTCTCATGAGAAAACACCGAGTACTCGCCGACGCCAGTAAAAAGATCATCGATTTATTACTTGAATTAATTTTGAAGTTCTGAGCGATCCTTGAAGCCGGATCGTCCGCGATATTTCCGTAGACGATTCGTTCGGCGTTCGTTATTCTAGACACATTAATTAACACAAAAGCGTACTGTCTTTTCTCTAGATCACCCAGCTGATTTGTACAATAGGTAGAGGCGTTATGCTAACGCGGTCATTGAAATCTTTTTGTTTCTTTCGTCCGAATGCGTTCGATAGAACACGAGTCTGCGGAGACGGAAATAATGAAACGGTCGAAGGTAGATTTCCATCGTAGCGTTTCCGAGGAAGAGTAACATAAACCGGACGCTTCCTCTCCGGAGTATATAGATTTTCAGGCAAAACAAGGGTAGAACGTAGCACACGGTGGGCCGCGGCACTTAAGAGCCGGCCTTCCGAAAGAACACTCATACGTTAAGAAAACATACTCGAAACTAATATTAACTGTGCGTTGGCAACATCCGAGCGGATCGTATTAACGAGCTCTTAGAGCAAGATCACAGAAAGAATGCCATGTGGCCGCAGCTGGCGGTGTGTACCGTTGTTAGTCCAACGAGACTCTGTCTTCTATTTTTGCAGTACGCAATAGAGCGGAAAGGGTGTAGAGATTGCACTATACACCGATACTTGGATAATATACTATATTCTTAGTCGAACGAGTTCGGACAGCGATCCCAAGATACTCTAAACCTAAGCATGAAATTCTGCTTCTCCAAACATCGCGAAATTCTGAGCTCTGTATTTTTATACATCCGTGGTACCAATCGATACTCCATTGCTTCTTTTAACGCGTTGATCACCGTTTACTGCGCTTCGAAGGAACAATCGCTGGAGTCAATTTCACGATAAGACTCACTTCGATTCTGTAGGACGCTTTAAAGATTGCGATTCGGCGATGTCGATTTGAAAATTCGATGTGAAACCGTTCGATGAAAATGTTCAACGAAAATCGCGACAATGCTTGTACATTGTACACGTTGTGTTAACAACTTTTTAACACGTGTATTTACGAAAGCGTTGATCGGTTTACGTTCCGACAGGCTCGATTAATTACAGTTGCGCCGCCTTTGTGCCGCCTTGATTTATGGAACGATCGTTAACAGCCGCAAATGAATTTCTGTTCTTCGAATAGGAAACATCGGCTGTTAGACGACACTTTTCCTGACGAACGACGAAAGAAAGAATAATCAGGGAAGTTTAAATTTACATTCAGCTGGTTAGGCACGCGTGAAACTCGCCGAGGAATTCGCCCTAATGAGCGTGGAACGAAGGGGTGTCATTGTAGATGTTCCCTCCCCTTCTCCCATCGACGGCGACAGCTCCGCTCGAGGGTGTTGTCAGAACGGCAAATATGTTGACAGGTCATTCAACATCTTTCTACCGCCTGGCAGCCGCGGATACGCAGAGGATGCGTGACCAGACCGATGTTGCACCTCGGAAGAATATCCGCGGCTAAAATTGGCCCCTCTCTTCGGCATTTCCCGCAAAAATGACTCGCGGATTATTAATAACAGTGGTCACGTCAACTTCTGACCTAATACCCTGTCTCTTATACACATCTAGATGTGTATAAGAGACAGGGTATTAGGTCAGAAGTTGACGTGACCACTGTTATTAATAAACCATTAAACGATCTTCTGAAATGGACCTCGGAAATGCAACAAATCAATATCTGTCTCTTATACACATCTAGATGTGTATAAGAGACAGGGTATTAGGTCAGAAGTTGACGTGACCACTGTTATTAATAAACCATTAAACGATCTTCTGAAATGGACCTCGGAAATGCAACAAATCAATATCTGTCTCTTATACACATCTAGATGTGTATAAGAGACAGGGTATTAGGTCAGAAGTTGACGTGACCACTGTTATTAATAAACCATTAAACGATCTTCTGAAATGGACCTCGGAAATGCAACAAATCAATATCTGTCTCTTATACACATCTAGATGTGTATAAGAGACAGGGTATTAGGTCAGAAGTTGACGTGACCACTGTTATTAATAAACCATTAAACGATCTTCTGAAATGGACCTCGGAAATGCAACAAATCAATATCTGTCTCTTATACACATCTAGATGTGTATAAGAGACAGGGTATTAGGTCAGAAGTTGACGTGACCACTGTTATTAATAAACCATTAAACGATCTTCTGAAATGGACCTCGGAAATGCAACAAATCAATATCTGTCTCTTATACACATCTAGATGTGTATAAGAGACAGGGTATTAGGTCAGAAGTTGACGTGACCACTGTTATTAATAAACCATTAAACGATCTTCTGAAATGGACCTCGGAAATGCAACAAATCAATATTAATCTCTTTCTCGAAAATTAGAAGCTGTAGAACTGTCTCTTATACACATCTAGATGTGTATAAGAGACAGTTCTACAGCTTCTAATTTTCGAGAAAGAGATTAATATTGATTTGTCGCATTTCCGAAGTCCATTTCAGAAGGCCATTTAATGGTTTATTAATAACAGTGGTCACGTCAACTTCTGACCTAATACCGGCATAAAACTGCTCGATCAAACGAACCAAAAGTTTGTCATAATTAATTAATGATTGTACGAACCAAACGTTTCTACAGCTTCTAATTTTCGAGAAAGAGATTAATATTGATTTGTCGCATTTCCGAAGTCCATTTCAGAAGGCCATTTAATGGTTTATTAATAACAGTGGTCACGTCAACTTCTGACCTAATATCGGCATAAAACTGCTCGATCGAACGAACCAAAAGTTTGTCATAATTAATTGATGATTGTACGAACCAAACGTTCGTACAGCTTCTAATTTTCAAGAAAGAGATTAATATTGATTTGTTGCATTTCCAAGGTCCATTTCAGAAGGCCATTTAATGATTTATATTCGACTCTACGCGTTCAATGGAACCAAACACATACACACACACACAAACACATTTCGTAGAAACTTCACTTGTTCGAATTCGTGAAATGTTGCAATACTTTAGCGTTCTCTGCGTCGCTACGCCAATTTCGCTGGTACTGTAACATTAGTCAATCTCGCGCAGGATTTCATATGTATTTGACAGACGGCCGGCTCTATAAATAAATATTTATTAACAAGAGTAACGCAATCTCGCGGGTTAGAGCGCGCCGAGGATTGAGTAACAGAAGCATGCGGCGAACCCCCGGCGAAACCTCGACAGCTCTCCTGACATTTGCAAATCGAGAGGCACTTTGCATTTGTTCGCGGCCGAGAAAAAACTGTTCGCTTCGGCCGTATCGCGGTATAAATTAATATAATCCGCGCCTTGACAGCCACAGGAGCCGAGAGCCGCGTTGAGAAAATTCGCCGCGTGTTCCCCAAATGCGAGCCGACCGAAGAAGAGGCCGTTGCTTCCTTCGATGTTGCAAACATGTTATATAACATGAAATTCAAACGATAAATCAAACCGGGTGGAACGTCGCGGGCAGGACAACGAACACCGAAACTAACCCCGTGAAATTTCAGAGAATAATCTTGACGAGTTGTCGCGACATGTGATGCGATTTTCCAGCGGGAAGAGAGGCTACGAAGTATTCTTCGTTTACTTGCCGTTACTTGGTACGTCCGCGGTATAGATACAAATAGCCGAAGAAGCCTGTAATCGTAGCGATACATCGGTTTAGTTAGCGATAGTTCGTCTTCTGATATCAGGAAAAAAAGATCCTGCAGCTTTTCCGTAGCTCTCGAGGCTCTTGGTTTTCGAGAAGCAAAGGAGAGCAGCCGCGTTCAATTCTGCTATGCATTTTCCCTGAAACGTATAACGATCGATTATTGTTCTATTAATATTTTCGAAATATTTCATATGTCGCTAGAAGGCTGGTGAACAGCCTTGGTAACAAAGAACACTGCGATGCCCCACTGTACAAACAACTTTGCATGGTACTTGAGCAAGTTTCTCGCGGGTTTCACGGGCGTGCTCTTCTTTTACGTGTTTTTCCTGAAGGAGAAGTGAGTCTCTTTCGATTTTAATTAAATTGCAACGAACGGTACAGCTGGGAGAAATGATCTACGTGTTACAGAGAATATAGTTGCCTGTGCAAAGCGAGATATCGGGAGTTCCTTCGTGACAAAGGAGAAAAGTGAGTCACGTTGGTCATACGTGCGAGATTTCTCCGAGGATTTGCTCTCTTAAAATCATTTTTCTGACCTACGCTGTCTCTTTATTTTATACGACAGAGCGCATTTTATGCGTGTGAACTCGAGTCTCGTGACTTATACAACAGTTATACTTTCAACAATTTTTCAAATCTAAATTTTCTTGATGCAAGAATTACTTTGGAACGTGATATAAACATTTTTTAGTGGCGCCTCGGAGTCACCACTCGAGCGCAAAGGGTTAATACGTTCCCCGTTTCGTCGAATGTACGCGTAAAATTGCAACGTAGTCGCGGAATCCTGAAGAATATCGCGCACCGTATGGCCAGCTATGTAATGCGCATGGCGTAATCAAAAGTTCTAATACTCAGTACTAATCCCTGCACCTTAGACGACCAGGCATCTGCGAATGTGAGACAGGGTATGCGACAACATTATTTCTTTTTCCATATTAATGCTTCATTAATTATGAATATTAATAATAGATAATAATAATAATATTTCGCGTAGGAGGCAGGCCAAAGTTTATGCTTGTGGTTGCCCAAAATCTATATACATGTGAGTACATAAATTTAAGTGTTTTTTTCTAATGTCGATCATTCGATTGTTTGCTAATAATTTATTCGTAACGGTGTTTAGGGTACGCTGGACTGAAAGAATGGTTCCTCGAGAACGATCCAGCAATCTCGGTGACTGCACTTGCGATAGGAAAGGATCCCGCCAAAAATGACAATGGTAATTTCGACTTCTCCAGCGAATCGCTGTAAGTCTTGCCATCGTAAGTCACTTTATTCCTGCCATGGATCAGTGACGTTCTGATTGTTTGAATTGCAGGTATATCGTCCGTAAATTGTGCATGCTGTGCGTCGCTACTTAATCGGAAGAGTAAGGTATATTGTAACAGTTATTATTATTTTATAACAATATATAATAACAGTTATTATATATTGTTATAGTTCGTTATTAACACTATGCCGTCCGGTGGCAGCACGCTGGTGCCATGCAAAAACTATCTGTTGTATGCCGGTGGTACCACTTTGGTGCCATTTTAAAAAACTGAAATAACATTTGAACTATATTTCTTGGGTGTTAAAAGGCAGCAAACTAACTATAGCATTGTGCTTATTTAACTAAGAATTAAGTACGAAAATTCTTGGATGACATATCTTAATTTTAGGAATTTATATTACCGCCATCTTCGAAATTTTTTTTTTAATCTAAAATTTCCAAGTTATTATGCTGGCGTCAAACAAAGGAGTCATATCTAAGATCTGCGGACGGCATAGTGTTAATACATTTTAGGAATGTATTAAAGCTATTAGGAATAAAAATGAAGCTATTGTCACATTAGCTTGCAGAATCAACGGCATGCGTGAGAAGGAAAAGATGGAGCCGACATTGTCTTTTCCGGCATTGCAGTGGTATCGTTTGTGCCAAAAAGCTTCTGAAAAGAAAAAGAAAACGATCTTGCACCCACATGCGTGTCTCCCAAGACACTATCACCGACTTCTGGAACTTTTGTGTTAGAAACATAAACGATGAATCGCGGAGTCCTGGAGATAACGTCCTTGTTCCGAAGTCGAGCGTTGGATTTGCGAATTTGAAGAACGGAGATACAAGAATCGCAGATGAACGTGAAGAAAAAATCCAAAAGAATTGCTGTTGCAACGGATTACACGAAAATCTCAACTCTGTTGAAACAGAAGCGAATCCAGAAGGTACCTTACAAGAAAACGGCAAATGTACAGACGAAGTTTCTTCGAAGTTATGTATAGATAAAGAAAATAGCAAACGGGAAGTATCGCGAGATTTTGTTGATAAGAATATGGCTCGATCATCCGACCAACAAATTGAAGTTCTTTGCAAGGAACAAAACTGTTTCAACAGTACGCCAAAGCAGGTTTTGGATCGAGATATTACAGACTCGCGAAACGTTAATGCGAAAACTGAATTGGCAATCGATTCGAATAAATGCGATTACACTTTGAAAGAAAATAGGAAAGAATCGAAAAGCGAGACCAGTTTTAGCGAAACAATTATAGCAGATACTTGCATGGATACGCTTCTGTACCGCGAATTGCGAACGAAACGTGCTCCTAAAATGAAGAACAAAGCGCCAATAGCTCGTTCAAAATCTAGCAAAAGCATCGAATCGAAATTAACTAATGGATCGGAAAAGGCTATGTTTCTACAAAATTCGAACACCGATGATTCGAACACTCTAGAAAATTGTTCGCAACCGGTTTTTGTCAAGGAAACGCACAAACATAGTTCAGAATATTCGGCGACAAAGCCATCCGCGACTTCGGGGTTGCAAAACGAATGCCTTCGCGATGAATTTGAAACTACTTGTTTCAACGCCTATCAAGCTAGTACAATAAGTCAGAAGAAAGTTTGCAGAAATTGTTCTCACAGTTTAAAGTCAGTTATCAACTTCCTTACAAACTTAAGCAAGTTTGCGTTTAATAATCGTATCTAATCGTTTCAGAAGTCGCAGTCGGCCGCGATGGAGTATCCCTAAAAAAGCTTCCTCGACGAAATTCAATTCTAATGTTTGCAAACATTGCAAAACCTCCTGCAAAAGTTCGCATCCGCAAAAGAACAATTTCTCTAACGACAATGGGAAATTTGAAAGGATCGCCGATTCCATGCTCGATCGCGAATCCACTTTAGCCACGGAGAAGTGTCTTCTGAAATGTAAGACGCCGTTCTCGCAGAACGAGAAGAAAGTAACTGCGAACATGTCCAAGAATCGGAAGTACGAGGACTCTACGATTCTCGGGGACAGTTCTTCCGCAATTTCTTCCGAAAGCTCTGACAGCGATAGTCGAGCCGCGCTCCGTCGTCCATTATGCAAATCGAGAATGCATAATCAACATGATCACGATCACGCTTCTTCGTCTAATCTGTTCCCGTGGAAAAGGTGTCCGTCTTGCACGGTGCTGTTCGAGTACTCGGCCTGCAAGAATGGGCAATCGATCTCCAACGCCCACAAGCGGAAAAGAGATCAAAGAATACGGGGGAGTCCGACGTCGACTTCTTCAACATCTTCCGTCTCGACGTCGATTTCCAGAGAAGCCTGCGCGTTCAGAAGGAATAATGCCGATCGGAACATGCATATCCTATTTAGAAAAAGTAACAGAATATTCGACGAAGAAGCTGCAAGTGTTTGGGAATCAAGAAACAGACCGTTCGAAGGGACCAGACTTTACGAACAGGGCGCAAATAATAGAACGATGTACACGGATGAACGTCGCGTAAAGTGGGGTTTCAAGCGTGCTTATTAGCGATCGTTGAGTAAGTGGTAAGAAAATGAGTAACTTCATCAGCGACGAAGTGGTATAAGTCGCGTGGTCCAATTATTGAGATTCGATGTAAGTACAGTAATGTCTCCCTAACTGACGCTCAGATTGTTCAGAAAACTGGACAATTCGGGAAGAGGAGATATAATTATTAGAGCCCTGCAGCTCGTTCTTATAGTTGTTGACAATCGATAACCATAAAAAACGAGCCGCAAGGCTCGAACAATCGTATCTCCTTTTCCCAAATTGTCCACAAAACTGGACAATTCGGGAAAAGGAGATATAATTATTATAGTTGTTGACAATCGAGATAACCATAAAAAACGAGCCGCAAGGCTCGAACAATCGTATCTCCTTTTCCCAAATTGTCCATTTTTGTGGACAATCTGAGCGTCAGTTAGGGGGACATTACTGTAGAGGTCTCTGTAGAATATACAGTAAAGTCTCCCTAACTGACGCCTAGATTGTGCAGAAAAATGGACAATGTGGGAACAGGAAATACGATTAGTCCGGTTTTGCACCATGTTTTTATAATCGTTGACAATCGGTAACTATAAAAACAAGTCGCAAGGCTCCTCTTCCCAAATTGTCCATTTTTCGTGGACAATCTGAGCGTCAGTTAGGGAGACATTACTGTACTGGCGGGAGAGATCGAATATTCTCAATTTGTCGCTTTTACTTTATTACCACGACGAGTGGAGAAGAAGCGAAAATGTCCCATCGAAATAAATTTCAAATGATCTTATTTAATTATTTTAAATAAGTTATTTCGAAATTCTCAAAAATTTGAATGGAAAGAACGAATTTTCATTTGTTTCCTGGCTCTGTAAAATGGATCGAGGATCACGTTCATCGTGTCTTTTACCGGAAGAGTATCTCATGATGTCTGAACGGGTGTTTACGATCGTCGAAAAACGGGAAAATTGAAACGTGGTGTCCTTTGATTGTAAATTTAACGGTGGTAACCGTAAGGAACAACAGTAACGAGTGGTCGTAATTGGCAGGTACCGAGTTAGTAGTGAAACGCCGTGAATAAATTGGACGTACAGGGGTGACGCGTCCCGTTGGACGTGCGTTGGAAAATCTGAAACTCGATTAATACGCGTCGTGTCCGTAGGTGAAGAGTCTATAAGTAGAATCTTCGGCGGACACGGACGTCAGTCATATTCATATATTATATTCTGAGCCGGTAGACGAAACCTTCCTTTACGCTAACGAGATATCCGCGACGGTTAACACTATGCATACATCACACGATGCCACGGTATACATCTTCGACGAAAATTTCAGCTACAATTTGCTCGACGAAAAAGCGACTTACTGTTTTCGATTAACCGTGTACCCTTTCTAAAGATGAAAGAGTACGAAAGAAAAGAAGAAAAAGATTTTTCTAGTTTATAAAGCATATGTATGCATGTATATATGTTGTACCTATACGAACGTTGTGATACATATTTATTTTTACCGAAGTAAACAAGTCGATAAATTTTCTCTAATGTGAAAGGGATTAAGAATGAAATATCGTTCCAAACACAAGATTTCATTTGACGATAATTGAAGCTTAGAAAACAACGCTCCTGTTGCTAATAAGAAAAAACGATTTGTAGATTCATGGTTGTTTGACAACGAAACGGTGAAAACATTTGTCGGTGCACTGGCGTTTGCACGACAGCAAAACCTTTTTTCCTCGCGTATGTTCTCATCTTAATCTACTCGAGAATCTCTCTGAATGGCAGGCTTTGTAAAGGAAACGTCGCAGCTGCGTCCCTCTCGTCTCGTATTTTGCACGCATTCCGATGAAATAAAACGAGACTAGTAAGGGTGTCGAGTTCAACCGAGAAGAAATATTTCGAAACGGGATGTTAAATGAGCGAACTGTCCGACTGTCACTCCGCCTAGTACCCAGTTTCTTAGCACTTAACGAAAATATGAGCCAAAATGAATCTATATATTTTCGGTATCCATGTTACAAATAGACTTAACGTAACACTACCACACTCTTTACAAACGATTTCAAAACTATACTTTCTGCTGTATGTCGTTTATTTATTTACAAATATTTAAATTGCTTCATACAACTAAAATAAATAGTAGACCGAACTAGCAGCCAATATTGTAGACGTAACTTTAACGCGTTTATGGAATTTCATTATTCGCGTTGTTCAATACTTATCTTTCTGTTCAGTTTCATAAATAGTATATACAATTTTCCAACAATATTATAACTTTCAGAAGAGATATAAACTTACAGTAAGCGTAGATGGTGTCTTATCGTAAACTATTAACAATGAAACAAAGTCACATGTTAATAGTGTGAAATAGGCACCAGTCGAATAGTTTAAAGCGGATAATATTACATATTGTACTTTTCTCATACTTCGTTCTATATCACTGTTTTGTTAGAGCAGATATTCCTCCTCTGGAATAAGTTTATTTTGATTAAAACATTCTTCAATCCATCCGCTTCTGATAACTATTACGTGTTTCTGTAATTCATTGTCTATTAAACTTTTTAGTTCGGAACTGATAGAATTCCCATTAATGAATATGTGCGTTACAGAATTGTCAAGGGTTTCTTTAACAGTGCCAGCTAAAAAACAAAATCCATATTTGGTCAAGTCTGATGAATCATTGAAATATCCCACCATCCTCCTAAACATGGAGTAAGGTGAAATTCCATGGTCGAACAACTCTTCGTCTAACTCATTCATTTGTGCAAGATCGAGCTTCATAATCTGTGCCTGAACAAAAATTTTATGATATTGTCAATTTTGTATTTAAAACTATAGAACTAATTGGATGAAAGTCGTACCTCTTCTGAAGCTTTTTCTAATGAACGTGTTAAACCTTCTTCGGTTGCATTTTCAAAGAAATTGTCATAATAATCGTCGTAATACTGTGCTAACCGATGCTTTGTTGATTTACAACAAGTTATTAGATCCCATGGAAGAAAGTCATTTAATGAGGACCAGTTTTCTTCTTTAACAGTGCGCTTGAACCAATCTATTGTTACCACGTCGTATTTATTGCTTTGTATAATACTGTTCGCCCTCGCCTGAGAGAATTAATTTTGATATATTATTTATTAAACACCATTAATAATCTCATAAAAATGTACGATTAAAATGCTTACGGTTTTAGCTTTACCAACAATGATGCAATAAGTTTCATTTAACGGGTTTTGTACAATTTTTGCTCTATGTTGCCATAGAATTTCTTCGATGCGTTCTTTGGGAAACTCGATATCTCCATTTATTACACAAATTTCTTTACCATCTAAAAGTCTTGTCAGATAAACAGGTGGATTTTCATAGATATTATGCCTCGGTGGTATATTGTCAAATCTGAGAGAACGTGGTTTTGTTGTCTTGCGCATTTTCGCTTCAGAAGTATCTTCTATATCATCATGGTCTGCATCTCGTTTCGTTAGTTTTTGAACTGGTCGCGAATCCTGATTACCAATAAAATACACTAGATACATAGCCATATAATAGAATTTGTGAAACTCGATCTTTTTGGAGAACACGTACTTTAACGAACGATAACAATTCTACAGTGGTGCATACATTGTACCATGGCTTGTCAGTTCTAATGCTTGTGGCTCGTGGGAATCTTAAACTATATCCTGTTGGATAATCATTACTTTTTATCATCTCAGATGCCCTTACTGTAACAATTATAGATTCTTCGGGAGTAACCCACAAACGTGGTTTATCCAGCTAGAAAATATTAAAATTAAGGTATTATGTATATATTTACTAACTTAATATATTTAAAGATATCTATATTATGTAAACTTACCCTAGGTGGAACCACGTTTGCTGGGCATTCTGTTTTCCATTTATCTTGAAACTTATTCCAAAGATCCCTTAATTCATCCATGGAAAATCCATTACTTACCTTTACAACTGATAGAAATACTGTTGGATTTTCTCCTGGAATATCTGATGGCTTAGCTACACCCACCAGAAAACTCTTTATCAAATCCATGAATTTTCCCTCCCCATAATATCCGCCAAGGATAATCAAATCGACATCCTTCACTAAATTTTCTGAATACTGCAACAGCATATTGCAAAATACAGAAAACGTACAGCAATAACATAACTATATACACTCCCAGACAGAAAGCTAGCATACGTGTGCTATGCTTTAATTTCTCGTGTTAAGATAATGCTAGCATGGAAACACCGTGTTATATGTAAAACGCGTACCTTCTACGAATATGTAAACATAACATAGAATGGCATTCCTTCACCGAGTTCTTTTAGTTGGTAAAGAAGCACATAATTCAACACAGCATGTGCTATCTTTTTGTCTAAGAGTGTAGTAATACATGTTAATGAAAGAAACAATACCTCTGCTTTTATTTTATAACAACCACTACCACCTCGTACATTTGGTTTATATTTAATGTCACATTTTTTTACTACTAGCCCTTCTTCTTTTTTTTTCATACTCTCATTGAATAACCGGCATAATTCCTCACTGTCGACAAAATATTTGAATTATTTATACACAATTTTCTCCTTAAATTATACTTTAAACTTGAATTATACCTTGTAGAAATTTTATTGACTTCGCACATCATAAGAGAACCTTCTTCTTCGTTAAATGCCTTTTTTAAAATGTCCAGCCTTTTCTCATAAGGCTCGTTATGAAGCAATACATCATTGTACATAATGATATCATATGCAATAAAACATGGCTGATGATGACTACTACTTGATAAATTTTTAACATCAAAATTCATTGCCTTTGAACCCAACAATTTCTTTTCTTTATGCCAACCCATTAATTCCCCGTCTAAGATTATTGATTTACATTGAGAGTTTAATAGTCGACTAAATACACTGCTCATAAAACCTACAATAACGAAATACATTAAATACATTGATTTTTACTTACATTATCTGTTAACTATACCTGAAGAACTAGTTTCTCCATAACCAGGTTTATTTGTAATTTCGAATCCTTGTCTTGTAAAATATTTATATCTACCATCTTTCATGTGCATCTGAGATCGTTCACCATCATATTTATATTGAACAAAATATTGTTCACCTCTGACAAAAAGTTTCATTGTATCCTCAATTTTACATTTCTCTAACAGCATAGGTCGAAAATGTGAGAATACTTTGATATCATAATGGTGCCTCAACTGATTATTAAACAATGTGTCACAAACTTGGTGCAAATTTGACACATCAAGTGCTGAATTTGCATCTGGATGAATAACTAAAAAGGCAATAGTATATGTATCAATAAATTATAAAGCATTTCGCAGAAACTACTGCAATAGATAAATGCCAATGTGAAAAAATATATACCTGCCAGTATTTTCTTTTCTCCAATATTAAGTTTTAAATCTTTAAGAATTATTCGCGTTATCCATTTAAACTCTAATGCACTGATTTTTCCTAACAAAATTTTAAAAGTTTCATCTTTTTGCGCAAGACTCTCGTTTTTCGATGATATATTATCAATAAATGCATTAATATGTTTTATAGTAAGATCTGAAGTTTCACTTTTGAAGCGTTTTCGTAAAGTCCAATAAGCTATTTCTCCAAAATCATGCCCTGCCTTTCCTGTTCTTGGAACTCTAAAACAATACCGTATTTCCATTAATTTTGTTTTACAATAATAACAAGAGAAATATATCAATTAGTAATCTTACTTGTATTCTAAAAGTTTTATTGCATCCTTACTGCCTTTACCCAAACAAAATACACGAACATAAAGAGTAGCAAGAGATTTCTCTTTTAGATTAGTAGGACCACGTTCACGTTCCAGTCGAGGTAAAATCAATCTGAATATGGGGAAGATCGAAACATCCTAATAATAAAGAAAATCATAAATGGCATTCAATTATTGTTACTGAGACCTAATTAAATTGTACACAACTATACCGCATTAGGATCTTGTGTCTTCAATTCGCCACTAACATGACGACAATGCCGGATGAATGTCTCTAAGACATCAGCTTTCTTCGCAATAGGTGCTTTGGTAACTTCTTCCAAGACATTGCATAATTGTCTAAATTCAATTTTTCCGGCCAAGGAGATGCTCATTTTGTTTATAAACCTAAAGGACAATAATAACTGATTATACTAAATATAGCAAACTCAAAAACGTGTACAACATATACAATATAAGAGGTACATATCATATTACAAAATATTAAAATTCATACAAAGGTGTTAATACATTTATTTACAATTGTAACAAATCATTTTACATTTCTCTTATATGTCATAAGTTTTTGGTCTTGTAAAAGACCATATATAAATAATACTATATACTAATGCTCCTAAACTAAATTGTAATATAATTTTCAAGATACATTCTTGCTAAAAAATAATTTTCTGATTGTAAATAAATAAGATGTAGATTGAAGGCAGCTTCTTGCTTCAGGTCTAAAAGACTTGAATTTTTCTGAACAAGTTCACCAGGATGTTCATTAAGTACTAATTTATAGAAATGCACAGCAGCTGGTAGTAAACCAATTTGATGAAACGCACGACCCATATTATAGTATGTTTCTTGTTTTCCATCTTCACCTCGTAATTGACAATATTTTCTCAAAAAAGCAATACCTAAAATAAAATAATACAATGTTTACACAAAGTACTTTTCAGGTATAACTTTTAATATACATGCATAGCAAATAATAAGATGAAATAAATTTATAATTACCTTGAATTATAAGTTGATTCTTCTTAGCAGATGATTTTTGGCATGCCATTTGAAATAAAGTTATACCTATAAGTAATGCTAACAATGCACTAGGTGCTACTTTAAAAAGAGAAATGTAATCGTTAAAGGCGTATGTATATGTTGCAGAAACAAGACAATTGTTCGCATGCATTACATGTACATAGGAAAATACATCTTCTCTTCCAAGAAGACGCATAATAAATCTGTTATGCCTAGAATCTTGTGCCTTTTGAACAATAATGTTCAATAAATTCCAAGAATTTGGAGTTTGACAAATGCGTAGCAGGTGTCGCACAATGTTATATCCATGATAAGAATCGTTATTATAAATGCAGGCAAACGAGCATAAAAACATTATATGCGCGTTTCTTTTCTCAAATCTCTTCGATGTTAAAGCACTCAAACAAAGTCTTTGGAGTAAACCATATCTTTTTAATTTACAAGCTAATTTACACATTTGTAAAAGCAAAAAGAATTCACTTTTCTCACTAAGGTCTGTTGGATTCAGAAACACAGGAGCATTGTCTTCCTCAAATTTTTCTCCACGTGCTAACCGATTAAGTTTCAAAGAATCTATACGACGTTGTATGGAGTATGGTCTTGTTATTGCACTTATCTCAACTTTGTTTCGTATAGTAATACAATGTCTAGAGAAGAGCAGCATACCAGATTGAAAATATTCATCGTATCTTTTCACTTTGTAAAGAAGCAATGTTCTTCTGTAAATTACTTGAGGGTCTAAAGCATCTGACTCGAGATCTTGATCAAGTATGTCTATTGCTTTATTATATTGACCCTTCAACTGATACAATTTAGCTAAAGCTATTCTTGCACCTAAATGCTGAGGTGATAATTTTGTCACAATTTCATATGATTTTATTGCTTTCTTTAATTCTTTACAGCCAACCCAGCATTCTGCATGTCGTAACCAAACTGCAGCTAAACTGTAATTAGCACTATTTACTAATGGATCTAGTAACAGTAAAGCACGTTCAAATTCTTTCTTTCCCATTAATGTTTCGGCTATATCTAAAAAAAGATCTCCAGAAATTTCTGGACTTTCATACATGTAGAATTTAGGTAAAAGCTTTTCTGCTAATTTCATTTGGTCCAATTCAATAAGTGTTATAAGAAATTTTGCTTTTAAATCAACAGCAACATTATCTGGCATTTCACAGTCTTCTATTTCACCTATTCTTTGCTCTTTAGATTCATCTTTCTTTTCATTTCCAGATTTTTTCACTGTTACAATAGAATTTTTATCATTAACATTTTTATATTTTACCCAAATAGTTGTATATGCTGTCAAAATATGTAAACATCTCTTAAACTTCTTTAATGCTATTAATATTTCAGTCATAATATTAACTTCCTCCAAAGTAATGAAGTTAGGACATTTTGAAAAAATATTTTCCATTGCTTCTAATGCTTGTTCATTATTATTTTCCTCCATGTAACGCTTGGCTAACATTTTAGCATATTTAATTACATTTTCACCATCCTCTGGCTCCAACTGGTAAACCAATCTTGAAAATCCTTTTAAATAGGCCTTTTTGTCTCCATACCTTTCTAAAAGTTCTGCTCGTATTTCATATAAGCTTACATCTTTTGGACTTCCTTGAATTGCTTTATTATAACATGTTATAGCTTGTTTAATATCTCCACTTTCAAGTGACATATTTGCTAATCTCACCCATTTATCAGAATCTCTTGGACTGAGATGAGCTGCTATTAAGGCAAATTGTAATGATTTCTCTGGCTGGTCTGTTTCATATATCATTGCCAATGTTTGAAATGGTTCTGGAGCACTTGGCACCTGTCTGAAGAAATGTCAAAATGTTTACATTGCTCAACGATACATTATAGTATCATATACTTTTCATGTTATAACAAACACTTGCCTAATTATTTCCATACATATTTGAGCAGCTAATTCTGCATCTCCTCTGGCAAATCTTAAGTTTGCTTCACCCATCAACCCTTGTAGAGCTGGAGGAAGTGTTCTTTTTTTCTTTTTATATTTTCCTCTTGGTCCTCTTCGCTGAGCAACTTTATTTATTTCTAAATCATCATTGTCGTTTTCACATCTACACATAAAAAGATCAATTGCTTTATATTCCACATAAAGGAACATATGTAATTGCTAATGTATTACCTAGCAGGATCAGTTTCTGTAGTTTCTAAATCTATGTCTTGATCCATTCTGGATGAATATTCAGAAAATGTTAATTCTCCATTCAAGAACTGTTTTGTTAATTGGTCCTCTTCGTCTGCTGTCATTAATATATCTTGATCTTCGGTGTCTGTAGCAATATCCATGATAGCATTATTTTGTTCGACGTAAGTATCAGATATTATGTCAGGTGTTATATCTTGAATCTCCAAAGCTTTAGCTTCAACAAATTCTGTCATATCCACATTCATATTGCTAAGAGCATTTTCATCCAATTCTTCAATGATCACTGTTGCTATTGTGTTTTCTTCATTAAGTGGCATATTATCTTTCTGATTCAATGACGATAAATTAATTTCAATGTTAACTTCTTCCATTTCGGTAT